GTCCAGTGTGGATGTTCCAAAGTGGAGTATGACAAAATTGTTGCCAAAATTTGGAAAAATAAGACTCATAAGTGGGACTGTAAACAGTACAAGAAAACTGAGTTAGGAGACTATCATCTGGAGCCATCCTCTACGCCTCAATTTCTGAATGCAAAGTTTTCTCTGCGTTATGTGGTATTGGTTAAGAGAGTAATTATTACTACAAAAGTATTTCTAAATTGCCGATAAGCAATTTAGATTTCACTACAATTTGTAGTTTTGGTTAAGATCGAAGATGTCATTTTTACTACAATGGAACGGAAATATGCCCGACATGTAGATTGTTAGATTTATTTCGACAAGATTTCAACCAACGATTTCGACACACGATGACAGAAGAAAAACAGATGACATCCATACCAATCTATTTATTTTACCACAAAAAGTTTCTAATATTTTTAAAGTTAACTATGGATGGGTTTAAATATAAATCCGTCATGCGTCGTCTCTTGTTGTTTTAAACCAGTTTAATTGGTTTATTTCAAAAATGACAGATCATATTTCAATTATATTGGTTTGACGATGAATGACAAACGGACACCGATGTGTATGAACTCGCCTTTAGATTTTTGATGCTAGTGAAAGTCTTGCCAAATTAAAGGTTATAATTTTGTGTCAACTTATGTCAAATACCTTGCGTTTTGGAAGATGATGCATTTTGATTTGTGTTTTTACGTGTGTTTTGTGTTTTTTGAAGTCAAGTGGAGGAAAAATCGATGGAAAATTAACTGTAGACCCAGAGCACAGGTTTATAGTTAATATTCGGTGTCCAGGCAGAAAGTCTTACACACCAATAAAGTTACCATCAATAAAGTTTCTATACCATCTCGTCATCTTGTCATAGGTAAGTGCATCTCGTATATGGTACAAAATCGTACAAAACATAAATATACTATAAACTTGAGTAGCTGTAAAATAACGACATCACACGATAGGTAAAAATAATGGATTTTAATACTGCAGAAAAATAATGTCAAAAGGTACCTACTGGTTTAAACAAATTAAGATTAAAGTTAATTAATCAACCTTTTTAAGGTATTTAATTCGGTAAGTGTTATTATTCATAAAGTAGTTTGTTATATTTATGTTTTATTTATTCCTGTGGAATATCATAAATTTGTATTTGTACATAAGTTATAAAATAAATAAAATAATAATAAATGCGGGAAGTTTCTTGCTTGAAAGCTTGAATGTAAGAAATAGTTCTTTTCTATATTTTTTGGTATGCTGTTGGTTTTTGTTCTATATACCTTTCTATATATAGCTATCTATATACCATATATATGCTGTTGGATTTGTTCTTGTTTGTTTTGTATTAACACATACCGTTTTTTTTTAAATAAAGTAACTCGATTAGATTTTTTCAGTTTTATACAGTTTTTTTCACAATATTTTGGGGTAATCACTTGTCGCTCAAGTGATTACAGTTGTCACTCAATTTTTAAATATATTAAAACGGCCTACACACGTAAAACGGCCTACACACGTAACGATTTATCGTACTGCGCATTGAACTGCAGATCGTAAAGAAAATCGTACGGCTTGCAGTAGAGCCATTTTTTGTACACACGATGCAACACATTGTACTGCCACAGTTCAGATTATTCACTTTTCGTCGAGAAGGGCTACCGTTATGTCAAGAATTTCAAAGAAGAAAGCTGCCATGCTTGCAGCTGCGGTATTGCTGATAGATGAAGATGATGAACAAAAAGAAGTCAAAAAGCGAAAATGGTGTAAAAAGTGGTTGCCGGAGAGAAAGTAATATTTAAAAAAAATAAACAAAATTTCATAACTGGAATTTCTTTTCATTTTATTTGCATAATCTTTTGATTTCACATCCCATAGGCATATATTTTTTCTATATAAATCAATAAAGTCTTCCCAGAACGTCTTATTTTTTAAATCCATAATATTGATTAAACCAAAAATAAATAAAAATTATATCGTAACTGCGCGCTGCGGCATGCAATACACTCATACATTCACTCTTGCGTTCAAACCCCACCCCAGACACGACCCGTTGATACGATATTTTACGGAAGCTCCGTACTGCAAACGATTTGACGACTGCATACTGCAAACCATCCAATTTCCCTACACACGCTACAATTTATCGTTAATGCGGCAGTTTCGATGGATATCGTACTGCATACAGTACGATAAATCGTTACGTGTGTAGGCCGTTTAACGATTTGGTACTGCATGCAGTACGATATCCATCAAAACTGCCGCATTAACGATAAATCGTAGCATATGTAGGGAAATTGGATGGTTTGCAGTATGCAGTTGTCAAATCGTTTGCAGTACGGAGCTTCCGTAAAATATCGTACAACGTGTCGTGGGTGGGGTGGGGTTTGAACGCAAGTCTGAACGTGTGGAGTGTATTCCCTGTCGCAGCGCGCAGTTACGATATAATTTTTATTTATATTTGGTTTAATCAATATTATGGATTTAAAAAATAAAACGTTCTGGGAAGACTTTATTGATTTATATAGAAAAAATAGATGCCTATGGAATGTAAATTATACCATTTTCGCTTTTTGATTTCTTTTTGTTCATCATCTTCATCTATCAGCAATACCGCAGCTACAAGCACGGCAGCTTTCTTCTTTGAAATTCTTGACATAACGGTAGCCCTTCTCGACGAAAAGTGAATAATCTGAACTGCGGCAGTACAATGTGTTGCATCGTGTGTACAAAAAATGGCTGTACTGCAAGCCGTACGATTTTCTTTACGATCTGCAGTTCAACGCGCAGTACGATAAATATACGTGTGTAGGCCGTTTAAACTCTGATATTAAAGGTGAGTTTATATGCATCCGTAATGCGTCGTCCGACTTTTTTTCGTGCATTTCTATTGATTCATTTCAAATAGGCAGAATTGGCGGGATACCAAATGCAGCGCTGGGGAAAAAATAAAATTAGATTTAACGCATCCGTCATACGTCGTTTGTCGTTTTTTCGTGCATTTCTGTTGGTTCATTTTAAATGAGCAGAATTAGCGGGGTACCAAATGAGGCGCTGGAAATAGTTGAGCAAAGATCTACTTTTTTCGTAATTTCCTGCTATGCGTTCCAATTGTACCAACTTATTTTTTATAAAAGAGAATAAACTACTTTGAAATTAAAATGACAGACAAATCTATCACTCTCAAGGATCTTGTCGTTGGACAGACTTTTACCACTACAGTTTGCAACAAAGGATTTTAACAATTGTAGCATTATTCACAACATTTTTTTTCGTGTATACTGTATATACTACAAAATATTCTAATTTGTAAAGAAAGGACCAATTTGTAAAAGAAAAGAAAGAGAGAGAGAAAATACATAGCAACATGGCAAATATATGCCAATAACAAATGTTTGCCAAGTACACGAGTCATCTGAGCCTAGCTTGTGTACATATTAACGTAATCGGTGCATTTATAGCTAGCACAAACTACAAAATTGCTGGATATTAACATGCAGCATCTTTGACTTCTCCTAGAAGAAAAAATTGTCATATATTCTGAAATACACATCGCGGAAAGTTATGAATCCTCTTCAGCCTCTCGATAGGTTTTTGAGATCTTCTACATATTGTCTAAGAGAGAATTCCATTCTATCCAATTCCATTCTATGTTATACGTCATTCCTGATTTCGCATTCTCATTGTATTATTAGATAAAGGTCCCAGAACAATACATCAAACTATTTATTTCGTTAATTCTAGTAATGCCAAAAATATTGTGTACTGTTATGCAAGATAAATAAATATTGTCGTTGTTAGTGAACAGCTGGGGTATAAATTGTTATGGCTTTTACCTGATTTAGTTTAGTTTTCGTGTTATCGTAAAATGGCGTGTGTCGATCTGGATACGCTTTCAACATCTGACGACGATATATTTAGTTTTACGGTAAAAAAATCGAAAGTTGGCAACAACGTGTTATTACTAGATATTGAAAACGATACATTCCAAAACAGATATGTAGCAGTTCCAACCAGCACCAGCGTAGAGAAACTGAATGGCCAAAAAATAGAGAACGATAAGATTCTTCTCCCGTTATTCGACTTCAAGTACACCAACAACCAAAAATACGCCGTATTTGATGCAGGATACTTAAAAAATTATAGTGCTGTGGAGAAGAACAATCTCGAACATTTCGATATTATTTTCAACACTTTAGCGGAATACCAAGCTTCATATTTATCTTCTAACAAAGCGGAATCAGTAAACATCAATTTTGACGTTACAGCCCTATTTGATAAAGTGACCAATCTAAAACAGTTTAAAAATTTTGAAGGATACACGCTAAAGGATACGAAGAATCGTTTGCAAGCTCATATAAATAAGTTCTACGAAGATAAACTACTAGTCAGAAGCGTAGGATGTGTTTCAGAGAAAAATGTATTTGTAAATTTAGAGAATAAAAGCAGTGTCGTGTTGTACAAATGCGAAGAGAAATTTGTACCCCCTGTCTACGATGCACTGATGTGTATTTTCATATTCAGCGATGAAAAATTTCGTCAAAAACATTTTGCTGCATTAATCCGTAAATATTTCGACACTCTTACTGATTACCTACATCAGTTAAAATCCCAACATAGTTTAAATATTACTAGAGAATATATAGATACTACCGTGAGAGTATTACTTCCAATCGTTAAGTGCCAGAAAATCGTCGAATCCTCGGCATCTGAAGAACTCATTTCCAACGCTTTACGGTTTCTGAAATACCCAATAATAAACCAAGAAGACGTCTACGAAGTTATTGAAAACAAATTAAAATCTACTGAATACGATTTTAGAGACTATCAAATGACAAATATGAACGTAAAAAGTGGCCATTTCGGACAGTACTAAACCTGGATGTTAAAATCAACTACCAAGATAAACCGATAGATTTTATTTTTTTCGCTAAGGTCATAATTGCACCCACCGAATTTTTAAAGGGATTGGTTGAAAGTGGACCAGCTGAAAAGGAGGATTTTTTCTATAGCACCTTGATGCCGTTATTTCAAGAACACAGACTGGAAGAATTACTAGATTTTGCCCCAAAATGCTATTTGAGTAGAGTTAAATGGATGATAGTGCTTGATCATTTAGGGAACCAGGGATTCGTTACCTTGAATCTAAATCAGACTCTTGATATTGATGGCTTAAAACACGTGGTAGCACAATTGGCCAAACTTACTGCTGTTACATTAATTGTGGAGGAAAATTTGTCACGTAAAGAAGGTAGACCTGTTAGAATAAACGAAATATATCCAAAATTCCAAGAAACAATTTATATATACCAAGAGGAAAGCTCTATCAAAAAAATGATTGATAAAAATAAAGATTCTCTACATTATCTAATAGAGCTACTACCAGAAGCAACCGCTCAGCTTAATCTACCTCTGGAAGAGAAGTTTAAAAAATTCGATGAAGTGTTTATGTCAATATTTTCAGGGATACTCACTTCCGACATTTTCAGAAACGCAATTGCTCACGGCGACATGCATTTAGGGAATATGCTATTTAAACAAGAACTGGACGGGTCTATATCTGAATCTAAGCTAATAGATTTTCAAATTCTACGTTATATACCGCCAGTTTTTGATATGCTGGTTTTTATTCACGTGAACTCGTCTAGAGAAACGCGACTTAAACACTACGACGATCTTGTTGAAGGTTTTTATAAGGATATTGCCAAATACCTGGATAAATTTGGGCATGATCCAGGTAATGTTTTTCCGAGAGATGTTTTTTATGAAAGTATCAAACATGTGCGGCCGGCTTGTTTGTCAATGGCTTATTGGTTTTGTTATTTGATGAAAGCCGATCCAGAAGTAAAAGCAGACTTGTTTATGAACCAAGAGAAGTTTATATACTATTATGAAAATAATAACAGAGAATATATAGATTTAGTATGGACGGGTGCATGTTTTCAAGAAGGGTTGAGAAGTCTGCTTCAAGATATTACGGACTACATAGTAGAAACAGATAATATGTAGATGATGATTTTATGTTTAAGATTTAATTATTATATTATTTATTAAGTTGATTCGATTAAAATGTTAATAAACATGCAGTGTTCAATGCAGAATGGCCAGATTCAGTTATTTAGTCGTATTTTAGTTGCCTTAGTTGCCCTTAGTAGAGATAAACTTTATTTTTGAAAATAACAAACCATACATCAGAGCTGCAAGCTCACAGAAAACTTAAGTCTTTTTGATTTAAAACATTTTAACGACTTAAGTCATTTCATTTAAGTCATTTTTCGAAAGCTGGCTTAAGAGGAGGTGAAAATTAAGTATTTTGAAAACGATTTGTGATTTAAATCTAATTAAATTTTAAAATAGAAAAAGACTTTTTAGAAAAGACTTAAGTCATTAAAAATATTTAAATCTTTTTATAAAAGGCTTGAGTCAGATTTGTATATATTTTTATGATAAATTTATGACAGCAGCATTTCTTTTTAAACTGTTAAGCTGGATTTATAAACTCGGAAGTTGGCGTTCAGTTGAGGTTCAATATTTTTGCATTTATAAACTGTCAGTTTCGGTTGTAGGTTAGGTTTGGAATTGTGAAAATTTCAAACGTTTTTCTTTCGATTTAAAAATACTTCTGGTATTTGTCAAAGTTCAAACACAGTAATCCACGATTACGCAAAATATAAACATCACATTAACAGAAATAATGAAACAACAATAAGGGTCATTTTCCAATGCATCGGCGTACTGTGCTTCACGTGATCGACAGGCGCTTATTCATTGGCTGTCGCCGAACTTCGCCAGCGGTCGCCAACTGCCCGCAACTGCCGACATAAACATTTACCATCTTTGAACTCCGCTGAACGTAAAACGAACTGCCAACTTTTCGACCAACTGACTTTATAAATGCGCGTGTTCATTTCATAGCGTTGAACATTTTGAACGGCAACTGAACCTCAACTGAACCTCAACTCCCGAGTTTATAAATCCAGCTTATAGGTACGCGCACACTGACCAGAGCCGCACGCACCGCATCGACCGAAGAAAAATATTGTTTGTGCTTCTTTCAATGAAGGTGCGCTAACTAGCCAGAGCCGCACGAATCGTATCGACGAAAATGCGGCAAGCATTGTTGGACCAGAATGATTTTCGGTAAATGCGGCTAGTTCTGCTGACGTCACACGCAATTCCTTCCACTCTACGTAGCGTAGGTAGCCGAAGAGGAGATTAGAAATTCAATATGCTAAGAAAGTTCGCAAATTTTTCATGGCTCATATTGAAAAATTTTTAGTTTTTTTTTATTTAAAAATTTTCAAACCGAACAAATAACAGATGATTATTAAAATTAAAATTATAAGTGTCCCAGAGAAAGACATTTTACAATAGTTATTTTACAAATTGGTGTTTATGTTTAAAAGCAACTGACGATTATACTGATGAAAATTGATTGGTTAGTTATGGAGTCACTACGGATCTTACGTCACTTTAGTTATCCTCAATTAAATATGGAAACAATGTGGATTTTTGCAAATATTGTGAACCCATAACTTTCGATTCTTTCTTGTGATTTCTTCTTCTTCTATTAGCAAGGAGCTCATAATTATTTCTTGTTTGTTGTCATTTATTGTCGAGAAATATTAAAAAAAAAACACGCTTATCACCGCAGACAGGACTCCGGAAGCGACTGATGAGAAATTCGATTGGCAAAGTTGTAGTAGTTGTACGGCCGCTAGCCGCATTTATCGAAAATCATTCTGGCCCAACAATGCTGGCCGCATTTTCGTCGATGCGATTCGTGCGGCTCTGGCTAGTGTGCGCACCTTCATTGAAAGTAACACAAACATTATTTTTCTTCAGTCGATGCGGCGCGTGCGGCTCTGGTCAGTATGCGCGTACCTTTAAGGTAAGCGCGCATTTGTTCGCACCGGACGCAACGGACGCATCGGACGAATCGCAATATATTTGTTATCATCGCATATTATATTCGGATTTTCTTCCCGCATTTTCATCTTAGTGCAATCCTCAAAGCGGGCTAATACGAAACTTTTGTTTTTCACGTTCGCTTCCCAAATTTAAAATGAGTAGTATTTCTGATGAAGAATTATTATTTGCAATTGCATGTGCATTTGAAGAGGAAGAGCAAAGGAACAAGAAAAAAAAACGAATTTGGGTCCATAATGTAAATATGAACCGTATTTTTAAAATGATGTTAAACTGATTTTTCTGCTGTTTAAATATACCTATATGTTAAAGATTTATTCTATTATATTGCGTCTACATACCTGGCTGTTTCATTATGTGCCCAATTTCCTCCCATATATTTTGGCGTCCTTGCTGATTACTGTATAGGGTGGGTCAAATTCGACGCTTTTAAATGGAAACACCTTTTTCTCTAGGAGATAGACAAAAACTAATATCGGTGTCTGGAACTCAATTTTTGTCAAAAACAAAATGGTGAAAACCGCATATCGATATCTGTTACCGTTTCGGAGTTACGGGGTGTTTTTCAAAAATATGCATTTTTAACAAATCGCTGTAGCTTTTTTGCTATGGAAAATTTTGTATTTTTATGAAAACATTTCCAAAGCACCTTTTTACGTAGAATTTAATGGTTTAAGTATAATTTTTTTAAAATTAATAATTTAAGAATTATCAACAGAAGATTTGATTTTTTATATGGGACACCCTGTATATTTTTACTTTATTGAAAATAATTTAAAATTACCTTTCCTAAAATATAACACAGTTGATATTTTGCTCGATTCCTCTTCGAGATATAGAGTATATAAATATTAGCCCGCTTTAAATAAGTAGGCTTTGAACGGCACCGGCTTTAATGCAAAAAAATTCTAGCTCTGAGCATCAATTAAAACGAAAATAATATTTGCTATGAGAGATGCAGAATTTTATAACAATTTAAAATATATTTAACCAACATCAACACATTTAAACTATATCTAATAACAATAAAAATAAGTAGCAAACCAAGACATGAGTTTTTGCTACAGGTGTTCGACATATCGACCGTCTTCTGTTATGGGCAGACGGGGCAGTTTTTGAACATTTCTCGCGGTATTTATTAACTCAGTGGGGGTGAAAGATACCCTCTCATAACTGCTAAGTATTTTTAATTCTTGTCTAGATTATACGGAAGAATAAGGGACCTTTATTCTTCCGCAAATATATCCATAGGATTAAATCCATGGGTACTGAGTCAGGCGACCTCGACGGCCAACGGCTGGGATCTTGGTTAGCTATCCAATTATTCTTGAAATTGGCTGCAAAAATTTGCTGATAACTTCAGCGTTCAGAGGTGATGCGTCGTCTTGCTGGAAAAATATGTTTTCTAGTTCCATTAAAGGCATATCATCAATAAGGGGTCCAAAGCCTACTAGTTAAAAGTTGCGAGCTTTTAAAAATTCTGTATTGCGAAGGGGATTATAACAAAATATCAAGTGTGCTATATTTTTGAAAAGGTAATTTTAAATTCTCTTCCGTTAATTAAAAATATGTAGGGTGTCCCAAATAAAAAATCAATTTTTCTGTTGATAACTCTTAAATTATTAATTTTAAAAAAATTATACTTAAACCATTAAATTCTACGTAAAAGGTGCTTTGGAAATGTCTTCATAGAAATACAAAATTTTCCATAGCAAAAAAGTTACAGCTATTTGTTAAAAATGCTTATTTTTGAAAAACACCCCGTAACTCCGAAACGGTAACAGATATTGATGTGCGGATTTCACCATCATGTTTTTGATGAAAATTGAGCTCCGGACACCGATATTAGTTTTCGTCTATCTCCTATAGAAAAGGGTGTTTCCATTTAAAAGCGTCGAATTTGACCCACCCTGTACTCTTTGTTTTTCAAATTATAAGTTCATTTTATTGTTGCACTAAAAAAATTAATAGTCTGTCATCCATTTTCACTCTTTTTAGGCACCTGCTCAAAATAACGTTAAAAACAAATCAAATTCTGCAAGTCGATTCCTGTTTGCATCGCGCATTTCATCGAATTTGCGAATGACGTCATTCGCACGCATCGTATATAAGGATTTAATTCTTTTCTAATAATTCTGAACGGATTTCCGTGTCTACGATGCGTCCGATACGTATGTATGTGCGTTGTCTCATTTAAAATAAAGCAAATAATAATTTTCGCCCGTTCCGTGTGTCCAATACGTCCGTCCGATGCGAATAAATGCGCGCTTACCTTTAGGCGGCAGCCAAGCAGCAGAATAAAAAATGCTCAGTACCACTAGTGAATAAAAAGTTAGTTTTTCGGAACCGTTTTTGATTATTTGTCCTGTTACGCATGCTTAGTGAGTCTGTTATCTTTGAAGTGAATCCGCGACTCCGTTATGTAGTTACTCCATAGTGTAGAAAGACGAGAGAAAGAAATTGATCTTGAATCTATTGAAGAGTACCTTAAAATCCCCCAGCCCTTAACTTATGCAATCGATATATTACACAGAGATCAAAACACATCACCACTTTTTAATAGACATGTATTCGATGACATCTATCTGTAATGGATACATATAAAGTACTACAAAATCGGTTAAATTTTACAAAAACGTATTTTTGTGATTGTAGTTGATCTGAAAATTAACTGTTGTGGTTTTAGTTTTAGTCTCATCTGTATTTATAATAAATTAATAATGTGATACTTAATAAGAAAATCGGTAATTGGTAATACAAGAATAGTATATTATTGAACGAGCAATTTATGCTAGCCATTATTCACGCAGGGTGACGTTTCACCCGAGTGAATAATGGCTATAAATTGCGAGTTTGTCCACGGCCATTATAATAATTATGAGGAGTGTTTGAATTTGTATTTTAAATGTTAATCTTACTATTAATTATTGTATTCATGTTTTAGGGGAAAATGTCACTACCTACTTAAAATTTGGCAATTTCAAACGACAAAATCATCAGTTGCTATGCATCGAGTGTCGCAATCATCTCGAACTATTCTATTTTCAAATACTTGGGAAATTTATTATTTGATGTGTTTTACGACATACCTGTATATCAGTAGGTACTTTTTTCTACCACCTTTAGTAAAATAAATTTGTTGAAAAATGATAAATCGTACCACCAGCAGCTTACTTTTTGTTGTTTTGTGTAACTAAAGTTGGTAATTTGTGTTTTATTTATCGTTATATGTATTTGAATTTCATTGATGCTGCTTAAAGTTTTTTTGCAATAAAACATACTTCTACCAACTTTAGTTGAGTATAGTTGTTGGAGAACGATAAACTGGAGTACCAGCAATGCAATAAAATAACTTTTTGTTGTTTTGTTTAACTAAAGTTGGTAATTTATGTTTTATTTAAAGTTATATATGTATTTGAATTTCATTGATATTTTTCAAGTTCTTTGCATGAAAATATCGTACCAACATTCTTTAGTCAATCAGGAGATTGATTTTTGTTCCGTTACAATGGCAACTAAATATACTAATAACACGGATTCGGAAAACGAATTTATGCCTTTAGCAATCCTCCAGTCTAGAAAGTTTTTATAGGCAGACATGTAATGATCCTTAGACTTTTGTGGTAGCAATCCAAAACTTGTTAATTTGGCCGCCTCTGCTATCTCTGGTGGTGTACAGGGCTCATTATCACTCTCATAATTCATTTTTTGATTTTAAACGAGTTCTTGATATGCCACTTAATAATCACTACCTACCAGACTAACATTACCTACTAACATGCTACTAACTAAAAAACTGCTACCTACTTAACATTTGATAATTTTAAACGTCAAAATTAATAAAAAGTTAAGAGAAACGTCAAATCATCCACGCCGCGCATCGGGATGTTGTGAGCATAAAATAATAAATACAAGAAGAAGTGTCAAGTCAATGTTAAATTATGGAAACAGCGTGGCTGCCTGGGTAACTAATTTTCAGATATGGCGGCTGGGACATTTGACATGACATAGACATGACAATTTCAATTTTATGAAATTTATTTCCGTTTCCGATTTATAATGGCGGGCTGTTCAGGAGGTTTAAATGAGGGTTAATATACTTTTTACTCTTTCTAGTAGTAAATAATACAACAAAATTACTCAAAAATATTTATTTGGAATTTAGAACAATGTAAATATGCAAATCAACACAATTAAAGAGCTATAAACACATAAACTACTGTATCAATATCAAATATTTAAATAATATCCGAGATGCTGTGTTAAAGTGAATTAGTAAAGTAACAGTGCATTGACTTACAGAAACTTGAAGATCAATAAAGGTTTTCACAACTTCACCGGCGTAAAACTAAATAACTGGAAGCAGGAAAAAGGAAACCGGAACCCACACAAAACCTGGAATCAAAAAAAAAAAAATATGTAAAAAACATAAATATAGGTACATAAGACTTTTGTGAATTAAATCAAACAGGACTTGAATGAAAATAAAATGAATAAAAATATGATACATATATATCTAATACCTCATTTGTATTTTAAAAATAATCTACATACATAGATTTATAGCATTATTGCTATGAAAATACATAATAGGTACCTATGTGATATGTAATTACGCATTTCTGTTCATCTTGTAGAAAATTAATGTAGGCTAATAATAGTTCAATAATCATAATTTACCTTGTATAACTTGCTTTCAATTGCTCAAAATCACCGATCAGTCTTTAAAGTAGAGATACCGCAAAATCCTTGGCAAAGAATATCCCAATATCCTTGGGTTTAAAGCTAAAAAATTATAAAAACAGTTAATATATTACCTATTTTTACATATAATATGGCCCATACCTACTACACGCAGAAACGTCGATTTCATCATTTTCTTCATGTAATTAATATTATATATGCTTTATTAAAGTGTTAACAAGGAACTTTATATCAAAAAACATCTTTGTACTTATAAATTTCAGCCGAAATATCAGAAACAAACTTCCAATCAAATCTAAACAGCAAAAATTAAAATGGCGCCCGACCTTGCCAGCATCTTGCAAGAGGCCTCGGGAGCTGACGCTGACACACAGACAAAAGACAAAAGAAGAGGACGTCGACGTGCATAAAAATGTTCCGTAACAGAAATTGACAGAAATCATATAGAAATATTCAGATTTTTGTCTAAGACAGTCTAGAAGGCATTGCTTTCTGCCTGGGTAGAACCATGGGTAGAACCGCGCCAGAACTGTTTCCAATTTTCCGGTTTACTGTCACCCCCCTGGTTGTGAGTGTCACGTTGGGCATAGCAACAAATGTAAAGTAAATGCAAAGTGTGATTTATCAGAATTCACTGTTATCAGCTATTATATTTCACTCTCTTACTAATATGGGCACCATATTCCTTCAGCTAGGAAGTAGAATATTGATTTATTATTAAGTGGTCGTGGACAAAAGTAATACCACAGGTAATACTAACATTTAAAGTACTTAAATTGAATTCTGTTTATCTTGACTTGAGGGTAATTATACTGATTTAAGTAATTTTACTAAATTAACTTGCAGATCATCATAATTTAAGTCAAAAATGTAGACTTAAGTTATAAGAACGATTTAAATAACGTTTTATTGATTTAAGTATTTTCAAAAATTACTTGAAAATTGACTTGAAATAAAATGACTTAAGTCAAAGACTTAAGACTTAAATCATTTGAATTTAATGTTGAATTTGAGTTAAGACTTAAATTATTTTGATTTTAGAAATGATATCAGACTTAAGACTTGAGAGTTTTTTTTAAAACTGACATGTTGCAGCTGTATCATACATTAAAGAGTGTGAAAATATGAGGAATGTACCAAAATTATGCTGCAGTCAGAAAGATACCCCAGTTTACGGTATTTGTTCATTTTTAGGGTTCCGTACCCAAAGGGTAAAAATGGGAGCCCTATTACTAAGACTTCGCTGTCCGTCCGTCCATCCGTCCGTCTGTCACAAAGGTCTATCTTATGAACCGTTATAGCTAGACAGTTGAAAATTTTACAGATAATGTATCTATGTTGCCGCTATAAGAACCAATACTAAAAGCAGAATTAAATAAATGTTTATAAATAAAAAAGTACTTTCACTAAACATTATCTTTTAAGTAAGAATTTTACATAGAATATTTCAAGTCCTCGGTGACCACGTGGTTAAAGCGTTAGGACTTTACGTTGCTATGACGTTGGAGCCGTAGGAAGGCAGGTTCGAATCCTAGTCACGGCGACTTTTTTTAATCGTTTTTTTTTTAATTTTTACTTTTTACATATTTATTATTGATTAATACAATTTTTAGTAATGTGTTTCTTCATTTTTTTTAAATTACTTATACGCGCATTCAAAATTTCAGCTAAATCGGAAAAAAAGTTTATAATAATATAGTGTCTGATGTTGTATAGGTAATGAATGGTACGGAACCCTTCGTGCGCGAGTCCGACTCGCACTTGACCAATTTTTTTAAACTACAGCAACTTTTTTTTTATTAATGTTGGGCTATATTCAAAATAAAAAATTACATCTCGTTTTTAAACGTTTATTTACAAATATACACAATAAAAATGTATGTTATTACACTATTAAAAACATCAATCTCAAACGAATTTACGCCAATCAAGATTTTAAGATTTCACTTACTACTAATCAACAAACAAATTAACCAAATAGACTTATCCAAACCTAACGCATATAGACTACCACCAACCATGTCCACTTCCCACTTTGATGTCACCGTGGGCACTTCCGATGACGTAGGAGGACGAATGGCCACCACCGCCACCTCCAACGTAAACTGGGTACGACTCCTTCACGACCTTCAGGTTTTCGATGGTGATAGGGTAAGGTTGTGGTACCGCCACGGGTACTTTCACAGGAACGGGTACGTGGATCGGCACCTTGACAGGTACCTGGACGGTTCTGGTGACTGGAACTTGCACGGTTTTCGTCACTGGGACTGGATACGGTTTGAGTACTTCTACGGGGTAGGGTTTGGATATGGTGACTTTGTATGGAATCTGGAATACAAAATTCGTTATGTATTTATGTTAAAGTATTAGACAAAGGGGGCCGTTTTTAGCGAATTACAGTATATTTGGAAAACAAAATCCGCATCAACTTTATATTTATTTATTGGCTTGGGTGTAAACTTGGCTTGGGCGATAGTTTCTGCTTTGAGTTAAATTAAAAATTACATGAGAAAATTTACTTTGTTGCCCTTGTGAATTTGTCAAAACGAGGTGACATCATAACTATTCATTTTTTATGTCTAATTGCCCAATTTAATTTAAGATTTTCTTTAAAAATTATGCCCGCAAGTTAGTTGCAAACTAAAAATGCATGCTTCATAAAAAATATTGCTTGTTCAAAAAGTTGTTTAAGAGAAATTTAAAAAAAACTTCTAAAAAAGTTCTTAAAGGCGTTTCTATGGTAATATAATTTCGATTTCATTCTTTGATAGATGGTTTTTATTAATTTTTATTAACATCATATTTTTAGCCGACAATACCAATAGGTATGGAGGCTATTAAGATCGGCAAAAAAAAGTTTTTTTAATTTCACTCAAAATGAGTTATTTGGGTCATAAATGACCTAAATACAAAATATTTTCATGATGTCTGTCTGTCTATCTGTCCGTCTGTCCGTCTGTCCGTCTGTCCGTCTGTCCGTCTGTCCGTCTGTCCGTCTGTCCGTCTGTCCGTCTGTCCGTCTGTCCGTCTGTCCGTCTGTCCGTCTGTCCGTCTGTAACACGATAACTCAAAAACCGCTAAACCGATTTTAACCAAATTTGGCACAAAAATACTGTTGTACCCGAGAATCTGGCCATTAGTTCTTGGTGGGGGTGGGGGGTGGTAAGGGGGTATGGAAAGGGGTTAAAAATTTAAAAAAATCGTAACTCCAAAATTACAAGTAGCTAGCGAAACGCGGTTTTCAATTTAAGGTTAGGAATAATATTTGCAACAAAATTTGTAATAACATCAAAATCAGTCAAAGTTGCAGTTTTTGAGATAAAAAAATTGAAAAAATTCCATTACTTTGAAACTAAAAGAACTGCCTACCAACTTTTTATTAACATATTTTAGTATGGGCGGCTATACGTGCCTCCCGGCGCCAATTTTTTTTTATCTCCTTAAAGTATCACATTTTTCCGATAACTAAAGACTTATCCAAACCTAATTAGCACGCTCTCCGTAGCATCAAACTAAATAAATTTTGTGTTTCATTAACATTTTAAAACAGCAAAAAATATGGGGTTAATTAAAATTCTATCAGTAACAAACTATCAAAGAATGAAATGGGACTGATATTACCATAGAATCGCATTTTTTATTTTTTAGGACTTTTTAGGAGTATTTTTTTAATTTTCTCTAAAACGGTATGGAAATATGGAAAAGTATAAACTAGATTAACTATTTTAGAACAAGCAAAATTTTTTATGAAAAATGTATTTTTCTCAAAATGCCAATAATAGAAAAAGTTTTTCCTCTTGTAAAGACAATCCTTGGAGAGACAAAACGTCCTCCGAAAATGAGCATAAAAAGCAAACGCAAAGAGGCGAATCAATGTCAGGTATTAAGTCCATGTGTGTCTGGGCAGCACAACATAAATTGACTGGAAGCCCGGTTTATCCACAAGTAAAGATTGCAAAAAGTATAAACTTATTAAATATTAAATAAACTGTTTTTATATAAAACTATAATGACATCTTAAGAGATCCAACTATAGAAATTTCCAAAATATGGTTACCACTCATAAAACAGATCAATGTGTACAGGGTGGCTCGAATTCGACGCTCATCATTGGGATTTTGGAAACCGTAAGAGATACAGGTACGGTTAAATGGAGGCAAAGTTGCGCAATTTGATGCTCAATAAAATACCGTATTTTTTTTTGGATAAAATATTCTGGTGATGGAATTTTCAGTACGAAACGTCGGCAAATATCAAAGTTACTATATATAGTGTTTTAAGAGCGATGAAAGGATTTAACTAAATTGAAAAAAAAATCAGGTCCGTATTTAAAAAAAAATTAAGTTGATGATGGTCGCCAGAAGCCGAAACGTCAGAGTCAATATTTAATCACACAGATAGAGCAGAAAAAGTGGCCATGAAAATGTATTTTTCATTTTAAGTTATCTTAACAAATAAAGCCAGGAAACAATAGAAAATAAAATTGAAAATTCCATTTTTTTTTCGAATATATTCGGAAGTATTCGTAATTTTTCAAAATGCAATACGGCATTTTATTGAGCATCAAATTGCGCAACGTTGCCTCTATTTAACCGATCCTGTATCTCTTACGGTTTCGAAATTCCAATGATGAGCGTCGAATTCGAGCCACCCTGTACATCATCCATCAGTAAATACATTGATGCTTGACACATTTATCAATTGACAATGGACCGATCACCTAGAAAACTAAAGATAAAATACAAAATGTATTTTTTTAGTTTATTTTGAAGATTATTGTAGTAACACAACAAAGTATATTATAATATATCCTAGGATTAAAAATGTTTTAATTCTTTAGGAAAATACTTACTTTAACTGGAATAGTTTTGACCACAGGGTACGGTTTCGGTACATAAACCGGATAGGGTTTTGGAACAGTAATGGTCTTTATTCCTCGCCTCAATCTCTGATGAGCATCTTCTTGACAGACAGCTACACCCAGCAAGCAAACTAAGATCTGAAATATAATATTAAGTATATTAAGAAATATATTCAATTAAACATAGCGAAGGGGAGGGGGGGTTAGTTAACATTGAAAATCTTCTTCGGTAAGCATTTTGGGGCATATGTTCACAGGAACTTTTTGTTTTGTTTGCTCATCCTGTATTAAATTATATTTTAGTACTTCTAGTTTTTTATCCGATAGTCAAACAGAACTAAAAACGATCAACTCAGTAACCATCATTTCGAAGTTGGTCAAGGAATGCCTAGAGAAGCTGAACAAATTAGGCAAAGAAAATAAAGTCCTCCTACTTTAGGTACCCGCTCACCAAGGGATAGAAGGCAATGAAAAACAACAACAAACGATCTATCTAGAAAAGTAGCGGACACTCCACTATAAAAAAACTCTGTTTTTTTTTCTCAGGTAAGATTTCGACAGACGATGACAGAAAAAAAGCAGATGACTTCCCATACCAATCTATTTATTTTACTAAAAAAAGTTTCTAATTATCTAACTAATAAGTTAACTATGGATGGGTTTAAATATAAATCCGTCATACGTCGTCTCTTGTTGTTTTTAACCAGTTTTATTGGTTTATTTCAAAAATGACAGATCGTATTTCAATTTTATTGGTTTGACGGAACGATGAACGACAAACGGACGCCGATGCGTATGAACTCGCCTTTAGATTTTTGACAAGCGTCAAAGTCTTGCCAAATTAGAGGTTATAATTTTGTGTCAACTTTTGTCAAATACCCTGCGTTTTGGAAGATGATGCATTTTGATTTGTGTTACTACGTGTGTTTTGTGTCTTTTGAAGTCAAGTGGAGGAAAAATCGAGTGAAAATTAACTGTAGACCCAGAGCACAGTTTATGGTTAATACTCGCTGCCCAAGTCTTATACACCAATAAAATTACCATCAATAAAGTTCGTATACCATCTCGTCGTAGATAAGTGCATCTCGTATATGGTAGAAGGACCATACTAAACACATACTAAAAACTGGAGTAGCTGTAAAATATCGACATCACACGATAGGTAAATAATGGATTTTAGTACTGCAGAAAAATAATGTCAAAAGGTACTGGTTTGAAAAAATTAAGATTAAAGTTAATTAATCAACCTTTAAGGTATAAAATTTGGTAAGTGTTATTATTAATAAAATAGTTTGTTTTATTTATGTTGTTTTATTTGTTCCTGCGGAATATTACAAATTTGTATTTGTACATATTATAAGTTATATTGATAAATATAATCATAAATGCGGGAAGTTTCATGAAGCTTGAAAGTAAGAAATAGTTATTTTTTATATTTTTTTGGTATGTGGTGCCTTGTTCTTGTTTGTTTTGTATTAACACATACCTACCAACTCGATTAGATTTTTTCAGTTTTATACATTTTTTTTCACAATATTTTGAAGTTTGTCAGTCAAATTTTAAATATATCAATTTCCTGCTATGCGTTCCAATTGTACCAACTTATTTCTTTGTAAAATAAAATAAACTAATTTGAAATTAAAATGACAGACACATCTATCACTGTCAAGGATCTTGTCGTTGGATAGACTATAACTGGACTGGAACCGTTCTGCTTTCCAAGCGAAAACCAACTTAAAGCGGAACTGAAGAATCTCGAAGGCTCCATACGTAACCTGGAATGGGAATCCTTCAACTGTCTAAGTCACTCGAAAAAGTTCCTCAGAACTTACGACCGAGAAAAATCAAAGATTTTCCTTGATTTAAGTAAAAACAATCTTCGGATTACCACGGGGTTTCTAACAGGATACTGTAACCTCAACGGACACCTAAAGAGATTGAAGCTGAATGCAGATTCTGTGGGGAAAATGGAGAAATACCAGAACACTTTATCATTGAGTGCGCCGAGACGACAACCGTTCGTGCTATTAACTTTAGTACGGCTGATGTCGAAAATGGAGAGGCTGGCCTCTGTGGAACCGTCTCAGATACTGGCTTTTATCAAAGCCCTGAAACTGTATGATGAGTTATAACTCGTTATAACTCAAGAAAGGGGAACACACAATAGATATGCAAGGTCGCTTTGATTAACCTCTCTCCCTCTCCTAAATGTTCTACATTCTACTTTTAGTTTTGAAAAGAACACTATTATACTAATATTTTTAAATATTAAATTCGTATAATTAATTTGGTATTTGAAAATATAAGAAATTTTTAATATGCTAAAAATTTAAAATATGTTTATCGACAAAAATATTTATAAAATGTGAGCTACCATTGCCCGCATATTTAAAAAAAACACATTGAAGTGAAAATCTCAAAGAGGAAATCTAATATAGAGCTTTTTCGGAGCCTGTATACAGGGTGGTCCAAACTGTATTTGTAAAGTTCGTATAAATATATGTCCTAAATTGCTTAGTTTCGGAGATACAGAGTGTAGAAGTTTCATTTTTATTTCGATTTTTCCAAGTAATTTATGAAGTAAAGTAAATATTTGGGTGAAAATTAGTGTATATATACAAATCAGTTCATAACGTTTTTCGCCGTCTTCTAATTTCCAGTCTCCATTGGTCTCTGTCTGTCCAGAGGTTTTCGTCTATTCCTCTTGTTCTGATGTCCCCGTCTATTCCTTCTCTCCAACTCCGTCTAGGTCTCCCTCTCTTTCGTTTGCCTAGCGGTGTCCAATTGAGTATTTTCTTTGGGATTCTGCTCTCTTCCATTATTTGTACATGCCCGTACCACCTGAGTTGATTAATTTTGATATCTTCTGATATTCTGTGTTTAACGCCCAGATTCTTTCATTTCTTACTCTATCCAGTCTCGATTTCCAGGCCGCGCGCCTCCAAAAGTCCATTTCTGTAGCTTCGAGCACTCTTTCTTTCAAAGGCCATACTTCACTACCATAACTAATTAGTGTCTGGGAGTTTTTTGACATGAGAAATTTGATTTTGATGTTAATATGGCTCCTACTTGTAGAGGGCGCTACCTACATATTTTTAACTGGTTTGAAGAGTAATATCTTTTAGTCCGTACCCGTATAAAACTACTGAGTAAAAAAATATACATTTACTACGTTTTTTACGTAAAAAAGGTCCCTTGAGAACAATCGATATGAGTAATGGTTCTCGAGATATTTGGAATCGAAATTATCAATACCTGTCATCATTGACATAAATTAAACATGTTGACTAAATAGTTATTAGACTGAAATCATAAATTTGAAATGTTTTTGTGTCAAAAGTTCATCAGAAACTGTTTTATCATCATTTCTTCGCAGAAAAATTTATGAGTAATTTAAAAAAAATCAAAATTTCCTGAATTTATTATTTCAGTCAAATAATTATCTACTAAACGTGTTTATTTTTTGTCATTAATGACATGTATTGACCATTGCTCGTAGCGATTTTTACCAAGAGGCACTTTTTAGGTAAAAAGTCACGGAAATGTATATTTTTTTACTCAGTAGTTTTCTACAGGTACGAACGAACAGTTACTATTCTTCAAAACAGTTAAAACACATGTACCCCCACAAATAGGAGTCGTACTGACATCAAAATCAAATTTCTAATGTCAAAAAACTCCCTGACACCAATTTTCATCCACACATTGACGTGGCTTCAGAAATTATTTGGAAAAAATCGAAATAAAAATGAAATTTCTACACCCTGTATTTCCGAAACTAAGCATTTTAGGACATACATTTATACGAACTTTTTTACTTATTTTTATCTGCAGAATATGTTACCATAGTTTCCGGAATACAGTTTGGACCACCCTGTATAACTCAATTTTCTGACACTTACAAAGACCTTCATTGTTTCACGACGTATTACCAACCGTACACTGTACATAGAAACCCATCTCTAAATACCTTATATAATTCACCCTCCACATTCTTTCTCTCTTTAGAAGAGACAAACAATAAAGAATATTGGAAAAAACGATAGATTGTAGTAATTTGTTATCAAATGAGCCATGTTTCGATCGCCAGCTCAAGTCAGGAAGCTAATCCAATTAATTTATGGAACAAGAACAGAAAGGAATGAACCAGCGTCTTCCGGTACTTTGAGTGATTGTAATAGCGCTTAATTCTGTGCATCTTTGCACTGCTCACCGTACCACCGTGAAATATAACGTTATTTTTTTCATTGGGCGGGTGTTATATTAAATGCGAATTCGTATGACACTTTGTTTGTATGATAGTCTAAGAGCTGGTTACATAAAAAATCTTATCATCGTTTCAAATGGCCGCCCCCGCTTTAAGCCCCGGGATCGTGCTGGTAGACATGACTATTTCATAATGACTACACAAAAGGATTCTTCACACAAAAAATTAGCCATGTAACGATGATAAGGTTTTTATGTAGCCAGCCAAAATGTAAAACTACACTCAGATGCAAAAAAACGCAACTGAGAATTTTTTCGTCAAGTTTAAAGTATTATATTTTTTACTATAAAGCTACATTTTCATGCATCCGTTGTCCGACGATACGTTGATACGATATTAATTTTATTGGTAGAATTCAAAGACTTTGATTTGTTAGAAAACAACGCAGTTTTTAAATTTTTTGCATTTTCATGCCTCCGTTTATCGGATATATCGGTGTTATTTTATATTTTCGTTTCCATAACGATTTTGCTATTTTACTTATATTTTTATTAACGTTAAATTAAATTTGTCAAAAAAGTGTCAAAACGTCCGTTATCGTATGAACCTTTGAATAAGAAGACTAAGGAAAGAGCATAATACTCTCCATGTATTCATGCATGGTGGGCGGAAAAAGCACTCTAGGGTGGGGATCCTTGACAGTTCTGTTTGACGATTCATTTGACACATTTGAATTTGATTTGAAATTTTGTGGATTTATCAGTCTTTACGGAGCTTATTTTATGTTATTTATTATTTATTCTACTACTGATAGTTGTATAAAGGTAGTAAATCTAGATGGAAATTGTGGCAGAACTTAAATTAACAGTGACACTATCGCAATTTATCGAAAAATTCTCTAAAATAGTTGGTTGTGTAGCGTGCGGTAGAT